CTGGCTCTCGGAGCAGCAGCTGGGCCATGGCCTGCGCGCTGCCTGCGGAGTTCTCTGCTACACACTGATAGAACCCCTCATCGGACTTCACCAGACCCAGAATCTGCAGGTTACTGCCATCCTGAAACACACACATAGACAGACACACCACACACACACACACACACACACACACACACACACACACACACACACACACACACACACACACACACACACACACCACACACACACACACACACACACACACACACACACACCACACTGATGTCAATAGAAGCGCTCAATATACAGCAAATTCTTTCTCAAACAAAACCACCAAGACAAATGTAAGTGAGAGAGAGAATATTTGTGTGTGTCCATGGGTGTTATCTCTATTAAATGATGGGATGGGAACAGATTACAAGTGATATCCAGACTATGAAAATAAGTCTCTGCTCTGGCTTCTACTTGTTTCTACTCTTCAGACTCAGTGGAAGAACACACTTCCTGTGGCTGTGGACCCAATGGGTGGCTGGGATTTGCTTTAAGCTTTCCCACATACCATGCATATAGTGTAGCTGTTTTGGGTATTTGTTGGTAATGTTTGTTTACTGACTGTAACTATTGTAATTTCATGTACATTTAAACCGATGTATATTGGTATACTAGTATGTTCCCAAATGTGTTTTCCGGTCTGTACCGACTACCTTGTCATTGTTGAACAGCAAAGTGAACAGATGGGGCCACAGTGAAGCCCCTTACTGTAATAGCATTGTATTGTCCTCATAAACGGGAAATTCGGGCCTCTCCCTAATATTGACATGTTTCAAGACAAGGCTCTATGCTGATAAATCATCAAGTTGAATTCATTTTACTAGAATTGTTTTATTAAGAACATTTCAAACATTGCTTTAAGAAAACATATAATATAGAGAAGTGTATGAGTGATGTCAACAGCCTCACCTCCAATAGTTTTACCTCATTTCATTTGCAGTCAACAATTAACACCAGACTTTTGATTTAAATAGTAAACTCTTAATTCGCTTTAAACCTGATATTATTTTGGTTTATTTGCACAGATTTTAGAACATTTATTTGTTTGTATTGTTTACTTTCTTTGTCTTTGAGTTACCCAGGTCGTTGGGGGAGATTACTTCCTCATTCAGCAAAAGGCGTGGCGGAGGGCTGAAGACTCATAAAAACTCCAAGCAGCCAATTGGGCGAAATTGGGACAAACCATGTGCTCCATGTCCAAGGGGGGAATATGAGTATTGTCAATGTCTTTCTGGATTCTGTTAATCTTAATTAGCCCCTTGTTTTATATTTTGGTTGTATTATAATCCTTGAGTAATTATATTGGTACTGTAAAAATGTTATATGTATTCGCGTTATTTTCTGTTGACCCCTTTTATAAACCTAGATATTCAAAATTCTTTGTTTATAATTTTTTTTGAAGTTCCTTTAAACAAAGTCCTGCTGCCTTGCTGCTTGGCGCCTGACAGAGTGTTTCCAGGTTCACTGTGACTCACCACTATCTGAAAGTAGTCGCTGGGGATGACTTCTTCTCCATTCTTCATCCAGCGGACCGTTGGGGGGGGGTTTCCTGTCACAGCACACTCCAGTTCGATGTCCGTGGACTCGTAGGCGTACGTGTTGGTCGGATAGTTCAAAAACTGAGGAGGCACTGCAAAAACACACAAAACAACATAAGAAAACTTTAACAAAAAACTAAATAAATCATCATAATTAAAGAGCTGAGTTCTATTTCACCCCCCATATATGAATAGGCTTTCATCTGTTTGACATCTTCAGATACTTATCCATGGGTTGATTCTTATTTTGAAGACAGAAATTACATTCCAATCCCAGCTAACAGGTTTACTATTGAAATACTGACAGTGGAGCTGAGCGACCATCGGTCAGGATGTCCCTGTTACAACACGATGATACTGTTAAACACATCGATCTGCTGTGTAATCTACAGGAGGTTCTGAACCAGCAACCTCGGTTCAGAGCAGTATGGTCCATGCAGAAGTACAGACATTTGCAGTTCCTCAAATGGCCACCTGAAACTGTCTAAAAAGGGGTGAATCTGCACAGACCCCCCCACCCCACCATCTAAAAAATCTCCAACTTTACACAAGAAAGAAATCATGTGTTATTATGTATTGTAAATGAAATTGTGGTAACACTTTATATTAAAGTGGACCTATCATGCTATATTTAAATGATATATTGTAGGGTCATACCTATATAAGGTATATTTATACGTTTCTGTTTTCAAAATACCAAACAGATCATGCATTTTAGCCATGCCTCATTTCGCTCTATGTGCTGTTTGCTGTCTACAGGTCTGATTCTGCTGACCACGCCCCCCTGCAGGAGAGGTGAGACGTGCTCTGATCAGCTGCTGGGCTGTCAGAAGAGGGGGAGAAAAAGAGATCTCCGTCCTCCGTGTTTTATTATATAGAGTCGTTATTCATTTGTTTTAAAGCTCAATAAATAACAAAGAAGACCTTTGACCGGCACTTTTCTAATTTTGTCCGGAAGATTTAAACTTTAACGGACATCTTGACCGGCGAAAGTAACTGAAACTGAAACTCTGCCGCACGGTCCCCTCGTTCCTTGGAAGAGGCGGAGAGGTGGGTGTTTGTCATCTGCTGGTGGACTAACCGGAGAGAATTACAGTGCTTGCCTCGACGGGGAGGGATTGCTCAATGCAATCCCTCCCCGCAAGCGTTTGCAGCGGGAGCAAACGCTTGCCTCGGGGAGGGAGAAAAAAAGCCACAGCGGAGAATAAACAGAAGGGTAACCATGGTAACTATGGGCGGGAAGTCTTCTTCGCTGCTTTTGTGGCAGACTACAGCGCCACTTACAGGCCTGGCATATGTACTACAGCGTCTCCAGCGCTTTCGAGCGGCAATGGCCGGCCGTGGCCCAACCCCACATTCCCCTGATAGGTGGAGAGTTGGCCCAATAGCCGTAGCGCCACCGTCCTGACGTCAGGACAGTGTTCAAATCTGGATCAGTTTTTATCAGATCCGTTGCAGCCCCTTTTTTAGAGATTTGGGTATGGAGGAAAATAGAGAGGGTTGTGTTTTCTGACACTTGGTGAGTTCCCTGGAACACCGGGGACACATATTCATGTATAAAAGACGTACAAAAGTGCATTTTGCATGATAGGTCCCCTTTAAAACCTGTTAAACCCCAAGGACCCGCCAAAGGGTCCGAAAATGCTACATCTGCTAGCACCAGTGTGATCTCTGAAGTGTCATTTATGAAACTATTAATGTTCCACACCCAGCTGACGGGAAGAAACTCAGCTAACTGACTATACGAAAAAAAAAAAAAATAAATAAATAATAATTCCCACAAGAAGCCTTTCAATGAGCCCTTAGCAAATACGGACTAATGCTATTTCTGCTCATAACTCACAAAAATTATCATTTATAATTATACTTTCTGCACAAACAACACATCATCTGAAAGCTGAGATTCCACAGATTCCATTGGCATAGGTCTCATCACTGCACGGCCAGAACTCACTGAGCTAGCAGCCAGAACATAGCAAATAAACAACATCAGTTGTCAAATCCATGACAATAATTAGCAGGTTAAATTTTACAATAATTTCTTTTTTTTTTCTTTTTTCTTTTTTTTTTAATGGAATGAATAACTATAGTGATGATTCAATGTTATAAAATGATTTTTACAGTCTGGTACCTGAAAAAGGTCAAATGGCACTGATGGAACCAGATGTGCCCAAATGTGCCCAAAGCTTATTCCGCCTGGAATTTTTTTCCCTAAATATCTCTAAAAAGGTCAATTTTCACTTGTTTTGCCTCAATCTTGATACAGGGTACTTATTATATGTTATAATTTTGATTCCTAAAGCTTTTAGGCTACTAACCCATCATTCAAGGGTGGTTTTCACTATAAGTAATGGTTTTTTGTTAGGCGGAGGTAAGAATTTACACTTTTTTACTATGTTCCATCTGAATTCACTCTGACACAGAAACATCTATATTGATTCTGACACTTCTACATCCATCTCACAGATGTAACCTTGCTTTGAGAAAAAAGATGATTAATTTAACCCTTTTAGAAGTGAAGATATAGTCATTTGTTCTGGGCATGTCATTTTCGAGCCTGAAACCTGAAAAACAGGCTTGGGTACACAAATTAACCATCAATAGGTGTTAATTAAAATGCATATTAGCAGTATATTGGCTCTTTATTAGTCATTATAAAACACCTATTAATGCCTTATTCTACATGACCATATTCTACAAGTAATAAGCCATTAGTTGAGAGTTTTTCTTCAATAACCCTCTAATTAGTGCTTATTTATTGTAAGTAAGGAAGTTGTTGTACATGAGTTTTGGTCTAAATATGCTCTGCTCAATATGGGCCTAATAAGGCAGTAGTACCACAAGAATAGCAATTCTCCCATTATAACACTTAACAAATATGATCTATTCTTATGTAACAAGACATGAAAGTAGAAGTGTTAATTGTGTCTAAATAACTCAAAATTAGGTATTTATATCTAAGAATATGTTTTGGGGTATTGACAGTTCAGCTACCAATAGCAAGGTGATATTGACCTGTATGTTTCTTTTTTGTAAAATTTGTACTGAAGGTTAGACAGGAAACCGGGTACAGGAAGTAGGAGAAAGTGAACTGAATAGCATGCCAGTAGACTGCTACTAATTTTCCCTATGCAACCTGAATAGTAAAAGGGTAATACAATTTCGCTAGAAAGCAATGACTGTAAGTGTAAGCCTTTCACTTACACTGTAAGGATTAGTAACATGTATTATGTGTTTATGTGAAGACATTTGGAGATGTTTAAACACAATGAGAAAATGCGTTAGCATTTGCACTAGCATTTGCGTTAGCATACACGGTAGCGTTAGCATACATGCTAGTGTTAGCCATAACTTTCCCGGGTCGCTGAGGGTGCTGGCGTTGTTTGTTTGCCGCTCCTCCGCCCAAAATCTTGTTCTTTAGTCCAGATCAGAACCTCTCCTGTCTGGCTCTCTACTTTGTAAACGTCAGTCATCAGCAAAAATAGCAGCATCTCTCTATCGAATCGACACGGATGTTTGTGTTGTCAACTCCTACCTGCTGGCTCTTTCCTGCTCACCGGTCCCTAGCCCGCTAGCTAGCATTATCGGACCTAGCAGGCTGCTACCTAGATGCTCCTCGGCTCCCCGAAGTCTGCTGAGCTAACATTTCTGTCTCCACCCTAACTCCACCCTAACTCCGCGGCTCGTCTGGGTCTTCCCATCCCGCTGCGATCAGCCGGCTTCCCCGCTGACATCGTCTCTCCCTGCCGCCTACAGCCGGTGGCTATGAAGCTGCACAGCTGCGTCCAGATCTTCGGTAATCCATGCTGACCACAGCTCTAGGCGGCACACCACCTTCTCACGTCCAGGCTCCGTGCAGTTCACCCCTCGCCCCGCTGCAACAGACGCCCGGGTCCAGACCTCCGAGCGGGTGGGAGCCCGCTCCAACCGACACGCCCCCTCTCCACGACCCGGCAGCAAACCCTTCAGTGCCCGTGCGGCATCACCTGACTCTGAACGGACCACGGGGCCGCCTCCTTCCTCACTGGTCATAGGTGACTCCATAGTCCGGAATGTTAGGTACAAGACTGCTGCAACATATTGCTTCCCTGGTGCCAGGGTTTTGGACCTGGTTGAACATATCCCGTCTCTTCTGATGAAGCATCCTCACGTCAGAAACGTTATCATCCACGTTGGCACAAACGACACGGCATGCCAATAATCAGAGGTACTTAAGCGCGATTTTACCACTCTCTTTAAAATGCTTAAGAAGTGCAACAAGTCTGTTTTTGTCTCCGGGCCGATCCCCTCTCTCCGTCGAGGCGTGGAGCGTTTTAGCAGGCTGCTCAGCCTAAACACATGGCTACAGTCGGCATGCTCCACGAACAAATTGAAACTGATTGACAATTTTAATCTTTTCTGGGAGCGGGACTCTTATTTTAGAAGAGATGGCCTCCACCCTAATTCCCAGGGTAGCCGTGCTCTGGCTGCTAACATTTCTTATGCTGTCTACACTGCTAAACAGACATGACAATTCAGTACCACAGCAGAACTGGATAGGGTCATGCACAATAACACTGTGACTACTATAAACTTTTCTACCAGCAACTTTTCTTCACTGATGCCGCTGACACCTGCCATCTCGCTCTCTGGCGCCACCCAACGACCAGAGGCTTCTATACCAGTGCAGCGACCCATTTCTGTTCTAACCAACATACACAGAAGGTTGATGAATCAGGTTAAAAACAGAAAATCCAAAAGCATCTGTTTAAATGTATCCAATTTAACAGTGATTCCACGTACTCCACGGTCTATCACAAACAATCAGAGTGATAGTATATCTAACACACTTAAACTGGCTCTATTAAATGTCAGGTCTTTAGCAGGTAAATCATTTTTAATCAATGATTTTATCACCAAGCACAATCTGTATTTTATGTTTTTAACTGAAACTTGGTTAGACCAAAACAACAGCACAGCTGTTCTTATAGAATCAACCCCTCCCAACTTTAGTTTTATGAGTCAGGCAAGACTGCATAAGAAAGGGGGTGGAGTAGCTATTTTGTTTAATGATTTATTTCAATGCAAGCAGACTATGTATGGAAACTTTGCT